TCACGATGTCCCCCCAAGAGTTGGAGCCACTTTAAGAAGTGAACCCCTCAAAGCTTTCCATTGCTGGGTGATGATGACCTTTCACAAGCATAGCATGTACCCCAGTAGCCGATCAACAACATGAGCCACACCACCCCAAAAATTATCTCTGAGGCTCAAACAAATTTGGCCAATGGCCGACCACTTCTTGCGCAATGCCTCACACCTAAGGAGATGAACTATTAGCTATCTTCAAAGATGAAAACCAGCATATTTTCATGATAAGTGGGGCCTTTCACCTTCACTTCCCACAGACAGCTGCTAAGTCTGTCAGACTAGCTCCTGCCTTTCCTGACTGCGTTGCTTTTTGTAAAACCTAAGACCAAGGTTTCCATCTCTTCAGCTGTCTGGTGTGGACAGAATTTTATTGCCTGGCCAAGGATTGAAAGTGTCATATCTCAAGATATGGGAGACACTAGAAAATTATGTCTGGCTGATTCAAAACTCTTCCTGTCACTTAAGACTATACAATTATTTATGCATATAATATATCTCTGGGAAGTAGAAAGTAGAGAAAAGTAGGAACTATCCCCATAGGTTTTATTCCTACCAACAAATAATGCTAAGACATAGCTTTGATTTTGACAAGGCTCTGAAATTTTGCTACATGGAAGATAAAGTCAAATCCTCACCAGGCCTCCAATAGCATATTGAAAAAAAAAGAAGAAAGAAAAATATTTCCAGTTCATAAAAGTATAGAAAATAGTGTCAAGAATACCAGCTCACCACTCAGTCAAATCTTAGCATGCTCCCACATTTGATTTAGATATTTTTTTATATAAAGTAAATCATTACATTTATTGCTGAAGCCCCCTGGGGACCCTACCCCACCATTCCCCTCCCTCCATGCCCAGACATAGCCACTATTCTGATTTTGATTTTTATCATTCCCATATGTATTTTGATATGTTACACGTGTATATATTCACAGATGATACATAATTTTGTTTTGCATATTTTAAAACTATAAAAATTGTACTATATGTATCATTCCCCCGCTACCTTTTTTTTGCCCAATATAATATTTTTTGAGGTTTATCTATGGTGATATATGTTGTTTGAGTTCATTCAGTGTCATATGCCATTGCATGAATACGTCACCATCTGTTTATCCATTCTACTGTTGGTGGACATTTAGTTTGTTTCCAGTCTTTTGCTTTTACAAACTGTGGATCCAGGAAACATTTTTTCACAAGAGCAAGAATTGCTCTAAAGGATATGTGTGATGTATGGTGGGTTGTGCATGTCTTCAAGTAAGAAAATATTACTGAATTTTCTCCAAAGTGCTTTAACTAATTCATATTTTCCCCGTAAATGTGAATTTCACTGCACCATATCCATGCCAACACTTGGTATTATCAACCTCTTTACTTTTGCCTATCTGATGAGTACAAAATGTTATACAACTGTGGCTTTAATTTACATTTATTAGGTTATTTATAAGGTCAGGTTATCATTTCACATGCCTTGTGGGCACCTGAATTTTTGCTTTTGTGAATTGCCTGTTCAGATCTTTGCCCCACTGTTGTTGCTATTGTTGCTGCTCTTTTTCTTACTGATTTGCAGAAATCTTTATGTGTTCTGAATATTGTTCTTTCCCTGATATTGTAGATATCCTCTTCTAGTTTGTGCCTTGTTACTTTTGTTTATGTGTTTTTTGATATAGACTCATTTTAAGGTTGTAGATTTTTCTTTTTTCTTTTTTTTAAGATTTTATTAGGGAATTGGGGGAGGGGAACAGTGTTGGGAATTGGGGAAGGGGAACAGCCAAGTTGTTGTCCTTCAGTCTTAGTTGTGGAGGGCGCAGCAGGGTCAGCTCCAAGTCCAGTCCCACCCAGCCACCTGTCAGCAGCTCGCAGCCGCTCAGCTCAAGGTGCCGTGTTCAATCTTAGTTGCTGGGGAGGACACAGTCCACCATCCCATGCGGGAGTCAAACCGGTAACCTTGTTGTTAGGAGCATGTGCTCTCACCAGCTGAGCCATCCTGCCACCTGTTGGCAGCTCAGCGGCTGCTCAGCTCAGGCCAGGCATCAAACCACTGTTGCTCAGAGCTCAAACTCTTGAGCGAGCTCTTAACCAACTGAGACACTTGGCCAGCCCTATTATGCAGCCTTTTTAGATTGGCCTCTTTTACTTAGTCATATGCATTTGTGGCTCCTCCATGTCTTTTCATGGGTTTATAGCTCATTTCTTTTTAGCACTGAATAATATTCCATCGTCTGGATGGACCACAGTTTATCCATTGAGCTACTGAAGGACATCTTGATGGCTTTGAAGTTTTTGGCAATTATGAATAAAGCTGTTAAAAGCATCACGTACAGGTTTTTGTGTGGACATAAGTTTTCAACTTCTTTGGGTAACTACCAAGAAGCATGACTGCTGGATTGTATGGTAAGAGTATGTTCACTTTTACAAGAAACGACCAAACTGTCTTCCAAAGTGGCTATTCCATTTTGCATTCCCACCAGCAATGAGAGTTCCTGCTGCTCCACATCCTCTCCAGCATTTGGTGTTGTCAGTGTTCCAGACTTTGGCCATTCTAATAGGTGTGTAGTGGTACCTCATTATTTACTTTGCATTTCTCTGATGACATGTGATATGGACCATCTTTTCATATGCCTATTTGCCATCCATATGCCTTCTTTGATGAGGTGTCTGTTAAGATCTTTGGCCCATTTTTTTCTTACTCAGGTTGTTCGTTTTCTTATGGTTGAGTTTTAGGAGTGTTTTGTCTATTTTGGATAACAGCCCTTTATCAGATGTGTCTTTTACAAATATGTTCTTCCAGTCTGAGGTGTGTTTTCTGATTCCTTTGACATTGCCCTCTGCAGAACAGAAGATTTTCTTTTTAATGAAGTCCAGCTTATCAGTTATTTCTTTCATGATCAGGTCTTTGGTGTTACATCTAAAAAGTCATCACCATACCCAAGATCATTTAGGTTTTTCTCCTAGGAGTTTTATAGTTCTGCGTATTACATTTAGGTCTGTTATCCATTCTGAATTAATTTTTGTGAGGAGTATAACGTCTAGATTCATTTTCTTTGCATGTGGATGTCCAGCTGTTCGAACACCATTTGTTGAAAAGACTGCTCTATTGTATTTCCTTTGCTCCTTTGTGAAAGATCAGTTGACTATATTTGTGTGGGTCTATTTTGGGTTCCTATTCTGCTCCATTTGCCTATTTGTCTGTGCTTTCACCAGTACCCTACTGTCCTGATTACTGTACCTTTTAATAAGTCTTGAAGTCGAGTAGTGTCAGCCCTCCAACTTTGTTCTCCTTCAATATCGCTATTTTGGGCATTTTGCATCTCCATATAAACTTTAGAGTCAGTTTGTCAATGCCTCACCATTTTTTTGTAGTGTTATTTTTCATCTAAGTTATTCCAAGTAAAACATTGATGTATTCTCCAAGTTTTTATACCATTATCAAAATTATAATCACTATGACCATTAATAGTGTCTCTCATTAATGAGTTTACCTTATCTTTAGTCATTAACTCTCCTGTCCATAGGAAAGTGTAGGGAGAATGAGAGAATGCAGAGTGTCCCAGGGCCCAAAGGGAGCTCATTTCATCCCTGCTTGATGTAATTATAAAGGGCTTTCTGAGAAGAGCAGGGCAGTGGCAGATATGGCAAGCTGTGTCCTAAACATAAGATTTGTAGTGGTGGTAGTAGTGGGACTGTCACCCACTGCTGCCTTTGTCGGGTTGGTTGCATGTGTTTCCATTCTCCTAAACTCAACGGGCCAGAGTATATTAGGCTTCAGCCATTTTTGTGCCACTTGGTAGCCAAGAGCAGCAGCAGGTTAGCGGTACGCGTGGAATCGGCAGGGAATAGGATGAGCTCGAAGCCAATGCTGCCCTGTAGCACTTACCTAGGCAGCAGGAAATGGAAGTACAGCTACCTGTCCACCTCATCATCCAACCCTGTCCATCGTGTGAGATACTTTTAGCAATTTTTTTCACCTCTGGAACTTTGATTTTCTCGTCTATAAAATGGGAACAATAAATACCTACAGAGCAGGGTCTTGTAAAGACTCAATGAGATGAAAAATTCCTAGCATCGTTCCTAGCAATTGGTGGGCAATCAGAAAAGTTGATATCCTTCCAAATAATTAGCATCCAAGAGAATTAGCAACGACAAAAAGGGCAGATTGTTGTGCAGAGACAGATGTTTAAATCTGGTTTACTCTCCTGTATCCTCACTAGCATTCAGAGAAATTCATCCATGTGCAAGGAAAATAAATCTAGACACAGACCTTACACTATTCACAAAAGCAATACTGAGTCACCGTTTTTGCCTGTTGAATAAGCAAGGTTTTCATGACAGTTTTCAGTGCCAACAAGGATGCAGTCTGTACTGGCAAACATGTGAAGAGGTGCATGCCATTTGGAAAGCTGTTCAAGATACATATCAAGAGCCTCAAAAATGTCCTTATCCTTTGATCTGTCCCAAAGACTCTCTCCTAAGGAGATGCCATTAATAGATCTAGAATTATATATACAAAGCTGTTCATCACAGCGTTCATTATTTATAATAATAAAAATCTAGAAACAAGTTATAGAAGAATGGTTAAATGTGTTCAAGTTCCACACACACGCACCATAGAATACTACATAGGCATTAAAAATCATTTCTTAAAAGACTGCCAAGATGGGAAAATAGAATTCAAAAAACTTCATATATCAAGTGGAAAAACCAGATCATAAAACTGTACATACAGTATAATTCTAGTTTTTTATACACAGAGACTGGTGGGAATTATACTATGGCTTCTTGCTTTTTTCCTGGGTAATAAGAATTATAACTAATGTTTTTTCTTTTATATTTGTTAATTTTCTGAATTCTCTCCAATGAGAATGTATTACACTGAAAATCAGGAAAAGGTTATTAATCAGCCTGGGTGTACTAGGCGTTGTGTCCATAGGAAGTGGCTCGTAATATTCTGCTTTGTTCCCACAGCTGCTGCTGGACACCCATTCCCTGAAGATGGTCCTGCTTGATCTACCTTCCATCGGCTCGCAGGTGGTGAGGAAGGCACCTGCCAGTTACACTAAGATTGTTGTGAAAGGCATGACCCGGGCGGAAATGATCCTCAAGGTGTGTCCTCCTCGGGGTTTCTGTTACAAGAGGCTGGTTGTCTGCTCACTCATTCCAAGGAGTACTGGTTTTGCAGGCCCAGGTTAGGGCCTATCCCATCCGTCCCAAAGGATCGTGCACATTCTTTGGTGGGACTAAATTTTGGCCTCATCAGAAACTGTTGAAAGTCAGTGGATAGTTCCTTGGGGGTCAGTAATTCTTCCTGACAAATGAGTTCTCCATTGTAATGAGATTCTCTTGTAACAAGATTTGGCCAAGATTGCAAGTTAGGTGGGGTTGTCTCTGTGAATCAGTGTCTAAGTCAGGGGTCTCTTTGCTTCTCAGCAGGAATTTCCGGCCCAGCTATCAGTTACTCCCTCCCACATAAGCCTCTTTGGCTTTCCAAGCTCTGCAACTTTACAAGAACTCTGAACAGATGTTTCAGAAACTAACTCAAGTCAGTGAATGGGTTTCCTAAAGCCCCATTTAACAAAACGTTGTATGCGGAATGCTGATGTTGCGAATGTCTGAAGCCTTGAGCACCTGTACTTGCTGAGAAGAGAGGGGGCCTGTTAGGGAGGGGGGGGAGAAGGCTAAAGAACTAATGGAACTGCAGTAAAATGCCCTTAAAAAGCCAGGGCCTGCAGGCCCTTCAGGCCTGTCTCCCAGACAGAATGACTCAAACGATGGCAGGATTAAAAAGCAGCCGCGGGACCTGAGACATTGGAGGGACCAGGTGAGGGTCCTGCACAGACCTTGCGCTTCTGGCCTGAGGAAATTGGAAGCAGCCCGGTAATCAGTTTCTTCCGCAGCTGGTTTACTCGCCAGGGAGGGGAGCAGAGCTGGGGAATTATCTGCAGAGAATTTCTGAGTGAGCTGTTCCTTGCCATTCTGAGTTACACGCTCAGGAATTCAAAACAAAACCAGTCTGCCGGAGGAAGAAAATCAGACACTGCCTCGCAAAAGCAAATGGAAATGAATGTGAGGATTGCGATGCCATCACTCTCCCCCTGCTTGTGTATTACTTGAATGTAGTTAAATGAAGTTCCAGATTGTAAGCCGTGGAAAGAGTGAGGCAGCCTTGGGTTTTTTGTTTTTTGAGAAAAATCCACTTAAATCAGTGCCTTTTGCTGCCTGGTCCTCAGGAACAATGCTCTGTGAAGACAGAGTAGAGACCACGAACCCACAAAATGTCTCAGACAGAAGACCCTCTCACACAGCATTTCCCAAATGGTTCTGATATTTAAAATACCCCCTGGGATTTTCCTTTTTAAATATCCCCTGGGAGTTTTTAAATATCTCAGGCCCTCAGAACTATTGGGTTGTTGGAAAAGTCATGACTTATTTTTTCTATGTTTTTTGTTGCAAAAATGCATCATGACTTTTCCGTCAGGCCAACAGAATCTTCAAAGGAAGAACATAGGAACCTGCACTTAAAAATGATACTTACGATTTGGCAAACGTAGGGAACAGGGCTCTAACCGAATGTTGAGATGAAATAGCCATCAGGACATTTCGGCGTTTGGGGCTGCTGCTGCTTAAGGAAATCTTGCAGGGTCCGTCACGTGGTCAGCTTGCCAGTGAGGACAGGTGGTCCCCTGCCCTCCCGTCGTGAGCCTCCCGTGAGGCCTGCTCTCGTCTCTCTCCCTTCGTAGGTAGTGATGGCTCCTCACGAACCGTCGGTGGTGTTTGTTGACAACTACATCAAACTGCTTACGGACTGCAACACAGAAACCTTCCAGAAGATACTGGACATGAAGGTTAGCTCGGTGTCTCGTTCGATCCACTTGCACATCCTTCTCACACGCAGTGGTTCTGAGCTGGGGAGGTAGCGGGGTGAGATATGGGTCCCTGGGGAGCTTTCTCAAGGTGCATACGCCTGCCCCATGCTGCCAACCAGACGCAAAGAAGCCTTTTGAAGAGAAGAATCCCAGGCATATGAACTTCCTGATCCTGATGGTACCATCCTGCCCAGTCGAGGACCACTTCTCACTCTGTTTATCTGTCCTTTCTTCTCTCTCAATCCCCTCTCTCTCTCCTATCCTATTATCTTTCTTTCTTCTGCTTCTTTCCCAAGCTACTACCCAGGGCTGGTAACTCCCCAGAAGAAAGTGTTAACTCCTCAGCCCAGAGTAATTTTGCTGTTTGCAGAGCCTCAGCTGCTGCGCCTTCACCTCCAGCCTTCCAGGGATCAGCCTTCACATTCTCCTCCTTTCTCTTTCCACCCCAGGGGCTAAAGAGGAGCGAGCAGAGCAGCATGCTGGAACTCTTCCGCCAGAGGCTCCCCACGCCGCCCTCAGGGCCCGAAAGCTCCAGCTCACTGTCCCTTCTGACGCCCACACCGGAGCAGGAGTCATCGCGCATCCGCAAACTGGAGAAACTCATTAAAAAGAGACTGTAGGAGCAGACAAGGGGCACTTGTTCCCCCTGGTCCGTGGCCCTCAGTGTCCAGCTCCCTGGAAGCCCCCACCTCCCCTGTGCTCACCCTGACTCTCAGATCCTGAATCTTGAAACTCCCTGGGACGTTGGGGTGGTTCGTGTGTCTCTCCCATGCCCTGTCTTAATTCCTGTCCTAATCGGAGAAGCCGAGTCAGGGCCGGGTTACAAAGAGGCGGTTTCGGGGGTCTCTGATTCCTGCAGCAGAGACAGCACTGAGTGAAATGTCCCCGCGCTTCATTTGCTGTTTCCGGGCTGCTCTCGACTGGTCCAGCTGTCACTGACGGTAGCCTCCCTCCGCAGTCACACCCTCTGGCATGTGGCCCTGTTCCCCACCACGCCCCGGTCCAGGAAACTTGAGTGACGAAGCCTGGACCTCACCCCCCCTTCCTCTGCTGCTGTTTGAGGTTGGCTGTAGGGCCTGAGCTCATGAAATGGCAGATGACACGTGTGGGACACTAGCCTTTCTTTATGAAGGAAATGGAAGCAGGAGCACTCTTCCGTGTAAATCCCAGTTTGGATCCATATTTCGCTTCCATGACACGGTCAATTCTCCCAGTCTTCTCATTTTGCAGTCATCTCCAGGTCCCTCTCCATGTACAGCGAAGGGAAGATTTCCTCTGTCTCTCACCCAGGAGGACTGTGTGCTCCAGGCCTGGGAAGCAGGTGACCTCTCTGCTGCGGGGCTCCTGGCCTGGGTGTGGGACAGACCCAAAACTGACAGGGAGAGGGTTCTGCTCAGTGCTCTCACAGTGTGATCTAAGAGGGTGATTGTCTCGGTTTCTTTATTCCCACTCTGCACCTGACTCCTAGGGGAGGGATTGCCTTCTGGGGAGGGAAACCAGGAAGTTTTCCTAGGAAACAGTGTCCTACGCTTTCTCCTCAGATGAAGCTATGAGAGCCCAGGAGCCCCTTCCTAACCATTCATTTTCACACCCAAGGTACTTTCCAGATCACCTGAAATTACAAAGGTAATGTGCAATGCCAGAGTGGCATGTTACTTTATCACTAATGAAAAAGAACCCAGATCCATGGATACCTAAGGAACAGAACACTGACCTTAAACACCGCCTCAGAACCTGCCCCCTGGCCCGCCCCGTCCTGTCCACCATGGGCTCTTGGCCAGCACAGCTTGACAGAAGAGAATTGCCTCACAGAACGGTTTCAATCCTGGCATCACGGGCATGGGCAGCGTAGTTGCCCTGATTCACTTGGTTCCCTGGAAACCAAGCCTCCGTTAGCTGTGACCGTGGCCTCTGGGTGACCGCTGTTTGTTCAGGAATTGTGAACAATTTGTTGACCAGGTAGGGCCCACACTAAGGAGGAAGGTGGAACTCTTTACAGAGAACACCCAAAGCAGGCCTCAGGATAAAATTAGGATATCAGATCTTGCTCAGGACAGAGGAAGTTTCCTAAAAATCCTGAAACTTGTGACAGCGATACAGTGGGAGACTTTCAGGTTTGAAAACCTGACTTGTCTTCTGCACTTGTCTTCTGTTCCCCTTCCTTCTCCGTCAGCCGTTCGCCCAGACCCAGTCCACCGGTCCCAGCTCTGATTGTGGGCCTCATTTCTTCATCAGCCTCCAGCCTGTTCTTGCTAGTCTGACTCTTAGGTATTGAGCATCTCAAACTCAAGAACACTGAGAAGAAAGCAGGTGGTGGGAGAAAGAGGTATGGCCTTCGGCTGAGCTCAATTAGTAAGAGATGGCTGAATAGGAAGAGTGTAGGAAGGGTGGGCAGGGGGTTGGGAGAGCACCTGGCAGCTCAGCAGGTAGATTTCACTGCTCCCAGCCAGTCTTCTTGTCGCACCCGCGAAGTCACACAGCCGGCACTAACTGAGGTTAACATTCTCTTCCCGCTTTTGGACAAAAGGGACAGTGGGCCCATTTCCAAAGAGCACAGTCACTTCAGCCGTCTGTCGTCCTCCTGGGGATCCAGGAAAGCCAGTGGGCTGCTGCACCTGGCTCTTGTCACTCTCAGTGTTTACAGATTCGTGGTTCGTTCGCAAAGGGTCAACCTCTGGCCGTCGCCATAATGGCATTGACGTGTCAAGCCCTGTTTTCTGCCGGTTGGTGGTCATAGTCAGGGAAGTTGTCTCCTGGAGTTATTATACTGTCAGTAATCTCCAAGGAGTCAACAGCTGTCAGCAGGAGTTACGTTAAATGTCTCCTTGCTGGCGTCTGAATGCTGTGTGCGCCTCTCGTAAGGACAGACCATGTTCCTCCACTGGGGGAATGCATCAGAACCACCTGAGGCTCTGTGTACAGATTCAGATGCCTGAAGATTGTGAGCTAGTAAGTCTGGAGTGGGGCCTGGCGTGGAGGTTGAAAAGTTCCATAGGTATTATAGTGTTTTCACCTTGTTATGAACCATTGCAATAGAGAGAAATTTGGTTTATTCAACGGTTCCTATAGCACATTTTCATCAATGTGCATTTTTTTCTGGCTCTCTAAGCAAGCGTAATTACTGTACAGCTGAGCTGTTACCAACATGGTAAAGATTCTCTGCTGATAACCAGCAGTTTAATTTTAAACTTGTGTTGCTAGTAGGGACCAGGCCAGAAATGGTGCCGTCCCCATACTGACAAGATTCTTCCTGTTTTGATGACCCAGCCCCAAACAGAAGGTTTATTTATTACTGTCCCTTCAAAATAATATATCTAAAGGAGCACACATTGATAAAAACGGTAACTTAACAACTCTGTTATTAAGCTAAACTTAGAGATTGTTCGTTCCACTTTCGGTAGCTCCTTTAAAAAAAAAAACTTTGAAGTTGCTTTATGTGGTTAAAATAAATATTAGTAATTTATACTTGATAAAGAGTTTGCGGCTGCTCTTATTATGGACAGACTTCCTGAGAGCTGGCTTAGAGGTGCCCAGGCTGGAGGAAGTTCTGTTTGGATCATAATACTGCAACGGGAACCACAAAGGACCATGAAGGGTGTTTGGACCTCCAGATTCAGTTCTGGAATTGAAGCTATCGCCACGCCTCCCTCATTGAAGAACAAAGCCAGTACCTAGGACTCTGCCCGGCCCCCAGAAAAGGGTGCCTGCTTTCCTGTGCCTAAGTTGGCTCCTCAGTGCCGACCAAACAGGACTGAGCGCAGACTGCCAAAGACCATGTGCCAGTTATGGGGCAGGCAGGGCGAGCGCACAGGTCTGAGGCTGCTGCCCGATCCGCGGGATGTGCCCCCAGCTCATCCTGAATTGCCACTGGACAAGGAAACCTAGTTCCCTGTTTATGGAATGCTAGGGAAAATGCCAAAAGCTCACAGCTGGAAATTCAATTCCTCTCCCTAGGAAGAGAAATCTCCAAAATAACTAGCTAGCTTGAGGGTGAAAGCAAGTGTTTCACACTTCTTGTCTACTCCACATGAGATGGCTAAAAATAAAATTATGAGAACTGCTTTGGGCCACTTAAACAATGCCTTGGGAACATTGTCATATGAAAAGCTAGCATGTGTAAAGAATACCGTTGCATTTTATACAGTAAAAAAGTTGCCGGTCTCATTCTAGTGGTTATCAGAATAGATAGCCTCTCGGACCCTCAAAGTGCTATACCTGTGGGACAGATCCGTTTCCTTAAAATAAAGAGATTGCTTTTTCGTGTAAATATCTTTCATTTTCCCCATCTGGAAGTAATTTCTTGGTGCATATTGGAGCATAAAATACTACAGTTAATTAAAGCATTACTGGATGTCATCTGCTAGGATGTATTTCCGTACTGTTGACAGAAAACAGAACAGACCATAGGAAAGAATTAGCAAGCCCATGAACCCTGGGCTCCCCTCTCGGCGTCTGCCCTTCTCCCTGGTGACGATGTGCCCCTTCCCTGACGCCTAAGGAAGCAGTGCACAAAGTAAAATGTGTTCATTAGCGAGGTCCTGGCACGGCCAGCTGCGGTGGAAACCCTCTCTGTAAATGTGCAGAAAGTGTTCGGCTGCTGATTTGCAAACCTTGCGCTCTGCATGTCTATCCTGTTGACTTTCCCTTCTCCACCTTGCTGTGCCAGTCACAGCCTGCTTTTCCACGTGACTACCTAAGGATTGCTCTCCTGTACACAGTAAGTTAATTCCGTTTCCTTAATAACCGGGTGGGCACTCTGCAGTGAACGTTTTGGGAAGTCTGATGATTCTTCCAACTGTGGAAAATCTGTTGCAGCACTTCCATTAGGTTGGCTTCGAGATCGTTACCTAGTTGCCATTCTTTCCTTTCACCAGCTCCCCATTGTAAGAGGGTAGCCAGGGATCAACCTGGTGAGAAAAGAAACACTTGTGTGTAAACCACCTAGAAGAACAGTGCAAGATGATGGACCTGCCCAGGCGTTCTTCCTTCTCACCTGCATAACGGGGCGTGAGCAGTGGGATATGAAGTATGGGGGTTCGTGTGAAAAGCAGCCTGGGATTGGAAACTTCTGCAGAACACCTGGTCTCCAGGTCTGCTTCTAGCACATTGACATTGGGCAAGTCATTGACCCTCTGAGCCTCAGTTTTCAAGATCTGTGAAAAGGGAGCATAGTCAATAGGGCTGTGAAGTTCACACAAGACCCGGTTGTGCACACATGCCCCAGAGGCTGTAAGGCAGTATGAGATGAGATGTGATCGCTGTCACTCGCCAGGCCTGAAGCACAAGTGGCTGGCTGGTCAGTGTGGTGTGTTACCCCAGGTGGCTGGACTCCTTTCCCTGGGTGGGCTTGAACCAAAGGGCTAAGTGACAACACACCCTGCTGCTGTGTGCGGGCGGCACCCACGGCAAGCATCGGAATAGCTAGGCTTTGCCTTTTTAGGTCATGATTGCAATGGCCAATTTATTCAAGAGTTTTAAAAGACTCTCCAGCCTCTGTTCCCCTTCTGGCAGCTGCTGTTTCCGTAGCATTTAGGGATAAACCGTAGACACTGAAAAGAGCTTCCTTCTCCTGGTGGTGTTGGCTGGGCTGCATGTTGTGGAAAATGTGGCACGTGGGCCAGCCGAGTGGCACATTGGTTAAGAGCTGGCTTGGGATGCCAGAAGGCCCCAGTTCGGATCCCACATATGAGGGCCAGTGATGCTGCCCTCTACAGCTAAGATGCTGAACAACAGCTCGACCTGGAGCTGGGCTGCCATGATTCACCAGCGACAGCGTAGTCTGCAGCCCCTACTGCAGTGGGTTGCCATGGGCTACCGTGTGTAGCCAGCAGCCAGCGTGAGCGGCCATCCAGAAGCCGGTGACTGATCTGCCTCGCCCGGGAAGAGCACAATGATGGTGCCAACTTGGGCCAGTGGAGCAACGTCCTCCCCAACTAGACTGAAGAACAAAAGGACAGCAACTTGTCTGTTCCCTTTCCCCCAATTCCCCAGCACTGTTCCCATCCCCCAATTCCCCAATTTAAAAAAAAAAAAGAAAAGAAAATGTGGCACGTTTCCTCTGAATGCAAATTATTAGGGTTACCGAAGGCTTCCTTCCAAAAAATTTTTTAGCTATGGTGTCTGATGTCCATGACCAGACTTCAAGTGGCCATTCCTGGCAGGGACAAAATTCTTGCCTGTACTCTTTTTTTTTTTTTAAGCTGCAATGCCCTAAAACTAATAAGATTATCTTGGGACAGGCAGTCTGAGCTGGAAAGCCTGAGGTTCAGCAGCTATTTGGATTTTTTTATGGTTGCTGTTCAGAGAAGTTGAGAGCTTTCTCCAGGCCAGCTGAAGCCCTGAAACCAGCTGGAAAGCACTCATCTGGCTTTTTCCATCCCCTTTGGAGATAGTGATGCAGAGAATGTTGGGTGATAGAGTGAGGTTAAAGTGAAAACCGTTAAATGCTTTGGCCCCTAGAAATGTGTATCACTTCATCTGAGGGCTCTGGTAGCTTCTGCTCGGTAATCAAATGGAATCTGCATGATCGCTCTGCCTCCTCCTGTTGGGGATCATTTTTCAAGTTGAGAAATCAAGAAAAGCTTCTCAACACTTCCCTTGACTTCTGGGGCCAAGGAAAGGACCTGCAATGTGGACTGCTACTTTCAGGGGTACCAGGTCGAAATGGTGACGAGAAACTCCAGCCTCTTTGCTCATTTGCTTTGTGCTGATGGAAACAGAAGGCACTTCCCAGAGAGAGGAGAAGCATACCAGCTGCTCGAGAGACCGCACTCCACAGAATTCTTCACCAACTCAAGTACTGTGACTGGGCTGACAGGGGCAGCCCCTGAAGAGCTTCAGAGGGCGGATGGGAAAAATACCAAATGTGTAAAGAAAACATGAGTTCACACACAGAGATACATCCACTACCTCATACCGTTGCCTGTTGCATCGCTTCCACAGCTCTGAATGGATCCCAGGTATTGGCTGGCTCTGTTGTCAGAGGATGGCGCTGATGGTAGGTTAAGGTCAAGGTGGTTTAACGCTGGGCCTTAACTGCAGCCCAGCTACTGTCTGGCATGCAGATGGGTGTCTTTGATCCTGAAGGGAATGAGAGGCCTGGGCCAGTCGATGCTATCAGTACACGTTGTGAGTGGGAGAGAGGGAAGTAGTTACTGATATTTATTGCATCTTAGATACATTATGATATCTCATCAGATAAAAATCCCTGTGAAGTAGGTATGATGGGCTCCATTTTGTGGATATGGACCTGGAGGCCTGGAGGGCAAATGACATGCGCAAAGAGCTACGTGGCTACTAAGCAGCTACTAAGCAGCCGAGCCAGGATTTGGCTCAGGTCTCATTCCACCATCTGTGCTCTTTGCACTCCACCAGTGGTTTTCAAATTGATGAGACACAGCATTACATGGGGCTCTCACTCTACAAAAACAGAAGTATCTTATTAATGTATTTTATGAGTTCGAATATGTTTCAGAGCAAATCAGTGAACACAAACTACTTCAGTAAGTAGAAAGCATTTTAAATCTAAGGTTAAAGATGACCATTTATACCTGGGATGCCAAAAAAATGTATACAAGTGGACATTTTGGTCAATGTTGCTCAAGCAGTAATTCGCGGTAATCAGAAGTGTCTGGACGCTGATGGTAACCACTTTGAGCACCTCTTGTCATTGCAGAAGTCAAACATGACTTGTATTCATCTTTTGTTATTGGCATATGTTGAGTGTTACAATTTTAATAGTTTTTTTCTTTTATTAAAATGTGTATACTTTTTTTGGCACTCTCTGTATATTATCAACCCCAGCATCCAATTTATTTCTGTGTTTTGCTTTGGTTGTACAGCATAGAGAAATCTTGATTTAATCCAGCTAAGAATTTGCACATAGTATCTGTTTTGTTTTAAACAGCCCTCCTTCCAAGCCCACATACTCTTCAGTTACACAGATGTGACAAGGGTCGACGTGGACGTGACCAGCCCTGGCAGCGTGGGTTAACACAAACAGCGTCTTTGTAGTCTGACACTTGCACCTATGACACATCTGAGGATGCCTGCGGTGTTATTACAATTTTGAGTGTTCAGTTTTTAGACTAGGTTTAAAATATGCATTCTTGAATGGAAGTTAGAATCAAACCTCTCTGGTGCCTCTTTGCCCACCAAAACATCTCGGAGGAATTCCTGGTTTCCCCCAGAAGTCGGTTTGGAAGCAGCTGCCCTCATGAACAGTTGCTGCATGTGGTTTTTCTGAACTTTGAGGACGGGGGGTGGGGGGGAGGTTTGGCAGTGTTGCCTTTGTGCAGGAAAGAGCACCATTTCATTTGAAGTTCACCTCCCATCAACGACACATCTGAACTGGCACCCAAATCCTGTGCAAATGGCCCTGGGGGCCACCACTGGGTTGCTGCCTTCAGAAACGACATCAAAAAGCAGGAACCCCTGCTTTGTTCTCATAGCACTGCGACTGAGGTGGGCGGAGGGGGCTTGGGCAATGCTTGAAAGGAAGCCCATCCTTCTTCGAAAACCCCCACGAGCCCCGAATCAGACCTGCAGCCTTGCACATCTGTGTATGCAGTGCCTCCCAGTTTTTGCAGGACCTGAAACAAAAATGATAACATTTGTACTCGCGTTGCCTCACACTTGGGCAAATCAGTTGAAGAGGCTGCTGGGGCCAGAGACGATGGACGTGGACTGTGGCCACTTCAGGACACCCCTTACCTCCCACGGCCCCAGGACCAAGGGATCAGTGTGGGCATTTGCTGGGCACTGTCACAGTGGCCCCGGTCTCTGGGTGGGGAGCTCCCGAGTTAGAGCATCAGCGTTAAATGGTATGTTGGTTTATTTGTTTTTAGAACTCCAGTCAAATTCTCTCATTTTGCAGATGGGAAACAGGCGTTTCTATGACTTGCTGACTCTCACTATGAGAGAGGACTAGCAAAATCGAAGCCAGCCTTGAATATCCCACTTTCAACTCACCATACACTTTGCCCAGCTGTCCTTCCCTGGAGTCCATCGTCCTCCCCGCTAAACTCCTCAGAGCTTGTCCCCTTTTCTGTTCTGCCCTCAGAGGTGAACAGGGGTCTCCACACTTTCCTGATCCCACCATGCTCCCAGCCCCTACGTGACTTCTCTTGTCACCTTTGTTACCATTTTAAAGGAGGTCTACAGCCACCAACCACTGCCTCCATCCCCCACTTGCATTCCCTCATTCAGCATCCATCTCAACTACCTTCCAGAAACTTCTCTTGAAAGTTACTGATGATTTTCTTGGGGAACTTTCATTCCCTTTGCACTGTCCATTTATTTGATGAGTCTCCGCTCCCCTTAGGCATTTTCCCTTAACTCCTTTGATGTCTTGCTTT